CTTGAAACGACCGGCCTTTCTTTAAAAAAAAAAAAAAAACCCTTCAAGGTTTTCTCTTTCCGCAACCCCCAAGTCCGTTTCCACGCGTTTTCCCTAAAACTGGGCCCTGGAGAGCGGCCTTAAAAAGAAGTTAAAAGCTGTGTAGCAAAACCAGCTTAGACGCCAACCAGTGTGTGTGTGTGCGTGTGACCCTTTGGTTTATAAAGACTTTCGATTTTTAATTTAAAAAAAAAACCAAAAGAACAGTGTGTGCGCTGGGTGTGTGTGTGGAAAGATCTCCTCGCAGGCCCACTCGCGGTGAATTTCCCCTTAGAAGGTGTCCATTTGGATTTATTTTTATTTCTATTTTTATTTATCCAGTAGAAGAAGAAGAAGAAATAAAGAAAGGCATCGGAAACAAAATGTGTCCCGTCCCCCCCAATCCGCGAATTGGAATAAAAAGGAAAGAAACGCGGTTTTTCTTCTTTTATCGCGCCGAGAATATTCTCGGCCCAAAGGGCGAATGAGGACGCCGCTGGATTTTTACGCCCGAGGCCGGGTTCGGAAGAGACGCTTGTTTACCCGGGTCAATGGCAAACTTTGAAGGAGACGGCGTTCCCACGATTTACTAAATCTGGTGGGGTTTCATTTCAGCCAGAGAGGCAAGGGGGTTGGGCAGGTGAGCGTGTAAAGGGAAACCTGACCCGTTTCGTGGCGTTTACGCTTCAGTGAAGTTTGAAAGGGGGGGGGGGGAATTGACGCGGGTTAAGAGCTGCCGTGTGAACGCGACTTACTTTAATGTAATTTCTCTTCCTCTTATTTAAATGTGTGTTTCCGCTCTTATTTTTCTAGGAATAACACCAAGCGAAAGGCTTATTTTAACCCAGTTCGTTGGAACTGCGGGCGTTTCCTTCCGAGTAAACCTGGGGAAAAACGGCCTGTCGGAGGTGACCGCGGTTTACTTGCGTGTAAAGAGCAGTTGGGGATCTTCGCTTAAGGTAGAACTTGGGAGCTGGCAAGTTTTCTGTTCAGCGAGGGTGGGGTTCCCGCGACCCTCGGGGCTAAAGTGAGGTTGGGCCACGTGTTGGGAGGACACCCCCCCCCCCAGTTCCCCGTTTCCAGACCTCGTGTGAACCAGGCGGGTGGAGAGAAGCCAGGGAAGGGTCCCTAACTTTCTTCAGGTCCTCTGAATCCCAGGCCTGGTGTGAATTCACCAACCCGGAAGAACGGCCTTTTCCCTAACTAACTCCATCCGCTTTTGCGCCCCTTCGGACTGGCCTGAAGTCCCGCGTGTGACCCGAGATCCAAACGAAGGCTGCGAATGTGGGAAGCGCGAAGGGTTGAAGGATGCGGGTTGGACACGCGCACCTGTCTCACCCGTGTCCAGGAGAGGCGGTATTGGATGAGGGGGCGAAACGAGACCTACCCCTTTAAACACCTAGACCCAAGGCGGGATATAAATCTAACAAAACAATTAATTTTAACCCTCGGGTAATCCAATCGAGAGAGGGGGGTGGGGAGGGAAAGGCAGGTCTGCGAAGCTAAAACGATAGACCTCGTTCTCACGACCCGTTCCGCGGGGATTTTTCCTCCCTGCTTAGCGTCCCACTAACTGGGTCCCCCACCCTCACCCCACCCCCACGGCAGGTGAGTCCTCAACTCATTCTTCTCGCTCTCCAGCAAAGCTAAACCAATTTCCTTCTATTTAAGTACAATGGCAATAAAGATGACACTTAAAACCGCTACTAGCCTCGCTTGGGGTTTAGAGTGTCTTGGGAACGCAAACTTGAAGGGGTTCTGTAAGTTTGTTGTTGTTAGTTGCGAAGTCGTGTCTGACCCATCGCAACCCCATGGAAAATGATCCTCTAGGCCTTCCTGCCTTCTACCATCCTCTGGAGTCAATTTAAGCTCCATCCAGCCACCTCCTTCTCTGCCTTCTCTTCTTTTGCGCTCCATCGTTCCCAGCATGAGGCTCTTCTCCAGGGAGTCCTTCTTCCTTCTCATCAGGTGGCCAAAGTCTTTGAGTTTCCTTTTCAGGATCCGGCCTTCTAAAGCAGTGTTTCTCAACCTTGGCAACTTGAAGATGTCTGGACTTCAACTCCCAGAATTCCCCAGCCAGCATTC